GACTTCTGACAATTTGCACAGGTAACGAGCTTGCACAGACTCAAAACCTGCAATAGATAGTGCTTCCGTCCTGTTACTCTTTTTCTGTGTTTTGAGAGTGAGGGAGAGTTCTGGGCACTTTTGTTTTTCCCTTCATGATGCAGTTCTTCACCTCCTTTGCCCCCATTATAATAAAAAGCCTGCTCACGAGTGGATACAAAGAATGATGTGGCTTTTGCCACAAAGACTGTGTATTTTACCAGCAGGTTACCAGGTATAGGATTGAGTGGTTTAGCTGAAATTAGAGTCTTGTAAAGGAAATGAGTACAGTGGTTAACACTAAAACTGCATTCATGGATGTACTCTAACAAATGCAGCAATGAAATGATAAACATGACCCAAATCCCGGTGCTTACTGGGGGAGGGGGAAATGGAGAAAAAGATGTGCTCCTTGTTTATCTGAGCCCTGTGCACAGAAGGAAATGGGTTTGGATGCTTCAGCCAGGATACCACATTTCCAAGTGGAGGGGCTGCAATCCATCAGCCTCCCAAGTTTCAGCTGACTTTCAGATGACGGCAGCCAATTTAAATGTCACTGTTTAATAGGATAACACATTCGCGGGAATCAGCTTTGCTGCCTTCCTCCCACAATGTCTTCATCTCTCCAGGCAAAAATCTCGGGTTTCCCTTGCCTGATCCTTTCGGAGTCAGCTCCATGTTACCGGAACACGCATACAGCTGTTTTCCCTATCACAGCTGCATCTCCGGCAGCAGCTTTGGGGCTGCAGGACTGCAGAGGGCAATGAAGGGGGATGTTCAACTTCACAACAAAAATGAGGCTCGTGAAAATGTACTTGGGAGGGCTACAAATCCTTACAGGGAAGGGGGTGAACCTAGTTCACCCTGGGTATTTCCAGGGCTGGGCTGCTGCTTTCCTGGGGGTGAGCACACTGAGACAAAGTACAGCTTTCACGCAGTTGCTCTTTAAAACTGGGTTTACAAGTAAAACCAGGGCCCCTAGACCAGCGTAACAAGTTAGCAAAACATGGCACAGCCGTCTAAAGAGGAGACAGGCAGTGGCATGGGTCCATGCTTCACGTCACCTCACCAAGTTCAGGGCCAGAAACAACCTAGCCTTGACCTTTCAGATAGCCTGAAATCTCCCAAGCAGCTACCCAGAGCCTATTTTTAGCTGTCCCTGCCTGATGTGTGTGTGTGTGTGTTTGCACAATGGAGAAAAGCCCAAGAGCAGGACCAGACAGCCCTGAAAAGGGAAATCTGATTTTATCGCTGGCTGAGGATGCTGGTGACATGATTTCCTTCAGCTTGAAGGAGGGTCTCCGACTTGCTTAAACAAACCACAAAGCCGCTGCACCGCAGCTTTCCTCCTGGCCAGTTCGGGCGCTCCCCTCCCTTCCCGCATTCCAAAAATAAGGATGGCAGCGGGGGACCCCAGCCCTGGCCTGCTTTGCTGCTGTGACATGAGTGATCCCCAACCTGGCTACAGAAGAAGAAGGGGAAAAGAAGTGTCTCGTTCTGGAAACTGCCTCCCGACGCTGGACTTTGCTTTTGATGCGCTAAGAGAAGGCGTTTAACGGTATCAACATACAACCTCCCCGCCCCCGGCAAAGTTGAGGCAAGGCTCTCGGTGCTAACCCAAGGCTTTCCACCCTGGCAGTGGAACTCAGAAAGGGCGATGAACACCCCGTCCCGCTGAGGGGCGAGCCCGCCAACAAATAGCCAGACACGGTGGGGAGGAAAGGTTCCGAGCCCCCGTCCCGGCGGGGAAGGGACGGAAGCCAGCGGCCGGGCGCTGCCGCGAAGCGTGCTCGGAAGAAGCGAAGGGACGGGGGGTGGCGGGGGGAGCACAGATAAGGATGACAGCCAGACCCCCCGGCTCAACAATGCAGGCAGGAAAAAGGGTAGGAAATGCCTGTGCAACTGCGAGGCACGCATGTACCTACCAGTTCCTCCCAGGCGGGGCTGCGGGCGCTATAGGAAGGGTACCCATGCTGCTCCATCCCCCCCGCAGCAGGTCGCCGACCTCCGCGCGGAGAGCGCCGGCTGGCAGCAGCGCAGGTTACGCGGGGCTGCGCTTCCCTCCTGCCGCTGCCGCTCCTCGGTCCGGCAGCGCGTCCCCAGCGCCGCTCTCCTCCCCCCTCCCCGCTCCTCCCTTTTTCTCCCCCGGCCCCGTCCAGGCCCCCTCCTTCCTCGCTCGCTCCCTCCCTCCCTCTCCGCCCGGCTCTTCTCCCTCCCACGGCCCCCGGGCTCAGCCCCGCTCCCGGGGGAGCCGGCCCGCAGCTGCCGCGCCGCTCACATCGTCACCGCGTCCTCCGGTGCGCGGCCCGAGCCCTCCCCGCCGCCGCCACGGGGGCTCCCCGGTCCCCCGACCCGACGCAACCCAACCCAACCCGCCCCGGGAAGCCCGGCCGATTACGAGAAAATCGCCTTGAGCATAAGCCGGTTTACAGCCGCTTCGGCTGCCTGCGCAGCGGGGCCGGCGGGCGAGGATGGGGGGAAGCCCCCTCGGTGCGCCGGGGCCGCTGACACCCCACGGGGTTATGCATCCTTTCCTCTTCCCCTGCCCTCCGGCTCGATGCGGGGCGGAGAGCGGGGTCCCTTTGCGCATCACTTTGCTTCCGAGCTGAGTTCTCTCTGGGGCCAGGAGGCGTCAAGGTCAGGACCTGGTGCTGGGGCAGCCCTCAGTGCCCCGCAGGAGGGCTCTGAGAGCGGGGTTCCACACGTTAACGCTCCTCGGGCAGCCGCTTTCCTTCACAGAGGTGCCGGATGGTCCCACAGGTACCTCAAGAAATATTTCAGACTTGGGAATGTTGAATGGCAAATGTAGAGAAGACAGCATGGATGTGTAGGCCCTGTCCAGGATGGGGGGGGGCTTTCATTTCCAGGGCCATCACACCTGCCTTATGGAGTAGCAGTATTTCTCTGCCCTCCATCTTGCCTTTGATTAATTAATAATTAATAAATTAATAAAAATAATTTAAAATAATGTATACAGTGTGTATACTTCAGTCTCCTCTTTTTACTAGTTACCAGGATGACCTTTAACACCAGCCAGTGCATTACAACACTTCACGTGGAGCTTGTATCTCCAACAAACTCAGCACTTTCACTCATTCATTTCTCCCTGTTGTTGCAGAGTAGCGGGATATGTGAAAGAGCAGTATTGGAAGAGAGAGTGAGAAAATGAAGCTCAGTCACCATCCAAAATAATGGTGTCTTCACCCCAGTTTTTCTGTATTCCTTTTCATTCCAGCCCACCCTTTTGGATTTGCAGCTACCATGGTTGATTACAAAAAGTAATCTCTGGGTCATCTATTTGGTAAGTGCAAATGCCAGAAACTGAGCTTAATTTCACAAGAACAAAGAAAGTAGTTTGTATTTACAGGAGTTTTATTTAAGGATATATTAATTTTCTTCATGTTTTACAGCTTTTTTCATGCAAAAAGAAAAAAGATGGCACACTGCTACTTGAGCTCTCTCTCTTGCAAAATACACTGACAAGAAGTAGCTCCACTGCTGAATGACAATGAAGTCTTATCTATGCATTTAAATAAGCCTACAGAAAAATCCCATGACATTAAGATGCTGTACCCCTAGGCTGGGCCCAAACAAGTGCCGCAGCATATAGCTCATTTGAGGAACCGAAATTGTTGCATTTCTCCCAGCAGTAGAAAAAGGAACTATTTTTGTTGATAATAAGTTTATCAGTGGTCTGTTGATGAACTGCTTTGATGGTAAGAGGGTAACCTCAGAGGGAAGGAAAAGAGATGACCCAGAGCATTTTGCTTTTTGGAAGGCAGCTTTCTAAAGCTGACAGTGAGCAACAGTTGTCCAAGGATGTCTGGTCTCCTTCCCCTTGTCCCCTGTTTGTGAGACACTGCTGAGGAATGTCATACTACAAAGGGCTTTACATATAAGGGCGAGTGTCAGAATAAGATTAGTCAGCTCCCCTTTTTTCCTCATGATGCACCAGAGGATCTCACATGATGCTTGTTTACACCTCTTGACATGTGGCCTCTTTAGTGTTGGCCATGCTGGGGCTTTGTGGCGAAAGTGGTCTGCCATGAAATATATGTCATGCTGGCACCTCGTGTTTCCTTGCTTGCTGAACCACAAAAACTGAAAACTCATATACAGGAACTTTAAGCAATTTGAAGTTACTCCTTCAGCTCAAGCACTGTATGTACCCTTTTGCCCTGAAATTCAGATTCTTGCTGTTCCTTCAGCCCTATTTTCTGTTTCATGTGCCGTGAATCTTGTACCTGTGATGAGATACACAATTAAATTCACCTAATTTCATCCCCTGGAGTTCAAAGCTTGGTTTCCATAAGTGGAAAGCTAGCATAGGCCCCAGAAGATTGCAACAACCTACTTAGGTTGAAGGTACATTTCAAGGTCTTGTTGGATAAGGAGGGCAGACATCAGCTGCTGCACAGATCCTGCTAGGTCTAAATGGAACTTATGCAATGCAACTTCAGCTCATCCCTGCTGCCCTTTCAGGATCCTAAATGGCACATTTGACTTTTCCCTTCTGTCTGTGAAGGAGACAGATTTTGGCCTTCACTGAGGAGCCCTGTCCCATGTGATTTCCCTGCACATGAGCTCTTCTCCCCAGGTCACCAAGCACAGTTTCAGCCAACGCCGAGTGTTGTGCTGCTTGGGTGAACTGGCTGAAAACCATGGGCAAAATACTTCTTTGCTGAAAAACATAATTCTGTCAAAGCCAAGGTGGAATTTGAGGACAGATGTCAGAATCACAGGATTATTTTTGTGGTTGTTCAGGGTCATGCTGCCACATATACAGAAGGGTGAGGGAACTAAGTCAGGCCCGAGGCAAGGATAAGCTTTGTTAGCGAGGGGTAAAGAAGCCGCCTGCTGTGAAACAAGGGGTGACCAACTGTCTCCTTGAGAAGATGGGAACACTGGGTTGGGAGGAGAGCTCACTGAAGGCAGGTCTTCACAACCAGTTTGGGAATAGACAGTGATTCTCCTAGCAGCACAGCCTGAGGGTTGTTTTCATTTAATTCTAATTTTCTGATTTTCCTCCAAGTCATGTTGTTTGTTTGGATTGTTTGGGGGTTTTATTCTTTTCAAGTTTGCCTACTTAGTCCAGACATGTGGGGTTGAATTTCTTGGTAGTTTGCTCCATCTACTGTGTTCAGTGATGCCTCATCTCCCTCTGTCTCTTCTGTTCCCTGCCTTTAATGATTCAGTGAAAACTGGATCAACGAAGGGAATGTTTCATTATTGACATTTTTTTTACATGAAGCACATTACAAATAGTAACACATGCCTGCCTTTTCTAAGCAAAATATTTTGGATATATTGGACACACAGAAACATACAGCTTTCGATGCCAATGCTGTGCTTAGACATTCACAAGGAAGTCCCCACCTCTTTAAGTATTTCCACTCCCTGGTGGGGAAAAAATGAACTGTTTTGTTTTTTTTTTTTTCTAATTTGAAGTAGAAAAAAATTACAAGAATGAGCTTTTTACTTTTTTTTTTCTTATTTTTCCACCAGCATTGCATTTACAGTGTATCACATAAAGAGTATACCCTGATTTTCATCAATTTATGCTAATGTGAATCTTCCTTCTTTTCTTGGCACATAGTATGCAAGCCTAATTTGAGTAAATTCCTCAAGGAAAAGTTGTTCTTCATTCTCTTCATTGTAAATATGCTGGATTTTTTCCTGTTAAATAATTTTGCAGGATTTCAGCAACAAGGTAGTTGGGTAGTTCCTGCCAGGAATACAGGTAGTAACAACCTGCAGTGGGTCATTAAAATGATAAATGTGTTAAAAGCAGAGGAAAACACACATGCTCCTCAATTTGGTAATCTTTCCTTGAACCAACAGAATGAGTTCAGAAAAACATTTAAAATATTAAGGTATATTCTTTCAGCAGCAACTATACACAAAGTCCTGATCGCTGCCTTGAAGCCCACTACTTTCTGTTCCAAACTATTGTAGAAATTCTGTATTTCTCCCATTTTACCATGCTTGATGCTTGGAACCTTTAGCAAGGTACCGAAAAATGTTTTTAGCCTACAGTTGTCATCCACAGATGTTCTCCACCACGTACATTCTCTTTGCATTTTTATTATTCCTCTTGTTACTCTAATAGCCACTTCTGCATGTACCTGTAAGAGACAGGATGCTTTTAAATAATTCCCTGGAGTTCCGGGTCTTACAAGAGGGAAATTATTTATGTAGCTGGCAGAAATTTGTCTGTTTTCTAAATGAAGAGCTTTCAGAAGAAAGAAATCACAGTGAGAAGAAAACCTTGGGAAAAAGTGTTTCCCTGGAGCAGCAGCAGAGCTGTGGAAGAACAATCCATATGCCACTTCGTTGCCCTCCCACCACTTCTATTTCCTCTTCTCAGTTCTCCCCTCCCAGTATCAGCATCTGCTGCTTGTCATGCTGGTGTGGACAACCAAAACAGTGCCTCCTTCCAAGAGGCAGGACCAGGGTCTAACGGGGCTGAAGTGTCTTTTCCCTTATGGACTTCATTCAGAGACCTCTAGAAGGTGTGTGTTTGTCATCCCAGCCTTTTGGCCACCCTGACTTGCTGCTGAAGTTTCAAGAGATACCCTGACAATCATCAGAAAAATATCATGAAAGCACAGATGGCTGTGGCCTTGGCCAGTGACCCTGGCTGAGGGCATGTACCAATACATTTACTTAAAGATGTTGCTGAGTCAAATTTGAGCCATTCTAGCTTGACATGGATGGTCTCATAAAAATAGCTTTGGGAAGAGTCATTTACTCCAATCACTTGGCCCGAGACAGCACCAACTGTATCCAAATTATCCTCAACTGGTATTGCCAGTCCAAACCCTGATGACCAGGGTTATGTATCTTCCCTAGAAAATGTAGATAGTGAATGACCTAAATCTGCTGTGCTGCAGTTTTTATCTCATCCCCCATGTATATGGAGAACCCATTCCTTGTTGCTTCATACCTTTTCATGCATTTGGAGGCTGTTGTCACACATTTCTACCCTAAACCAGCCCAATTTCATTCTCATCATTGACCTCTCAGCTCACACTTCCAAAGGCATTGCCAGTGTCTCACTTAACATGCAGGGCCTATCAGGCACCATGCTCCAGCTGAGGCTTCACCTTAGAAAAACATTAGCCTGGGTTTGTCCAGGTGTAATGAATATGCTCTTTGGATGAGCACCCTGACCATTAATGAGGATTGAAGCATCCTTCCAGCCTGTGTGTGAAGCAGGGCTTCCTCCTGTGAATGGTGTGTTGCTGGATTTGTGAGCTCCAGGGGAAATTTCACCTGAAATGTGGCTTCCTAGGAAAATATCACATCAGTGTCAAAAGCTTTAGTAAATCGATATACATGGCATCTACACCATCCACAGGCCTGTTTTGTTTGACATTATTTGTCCTTGAAAAACCTGTATTTGTTACAACCCTCCTTGTTATCTTCTAAGTAAAGGCCATGGCAGGGAGGTGGGAACTAGATGATATTTAAGGTCTCTTCCAACCCAAACCAGTCTATGATTCTATGACGAAACAGTTTTTATTGTTATTTTGTGAAAAAACAGAGTTCCTGTGATGGATCAGTAATTCCCGAGTTCCTCCTTTTTCTCCTTTCTGAATGTTTCACTTCATAATACAAGAACGGAACCAATTAAACACAGGTTGTATCTTCATCTCATTTTTACATATGAGCCAAATACCTCTGGTGGAGTTTTTAATTTGTGGTTAAAGACTTTTGGAAGCCTGGCACAAATTTAAGTATTTGCTTCTTTGAATTCATTCAGACCTTGCAGATGCAACTTTTAACAGTTATTCTAAAATAGGAACAAGCAATTAATCATGAGGGTTTCCAATGTAATAAAGTCATGTACAAATTAATAAATGCATTACTTCAAAAATGCTCAGAACAAAAGTAAATGTTTTATTTAAATCATCTCTAAATCACTAGAGGTTTCTAATGGCAAAATGGGGAGGGGGGAAGGAGGAAGAACCTTGCCTTCCTCCTAATGGTTAGAAAAGGAGAAAACAGTTGGCAAAATTATTTGTATGGAAAAGGGAAAGAATTTAGCCCACCCAACAATGTGGCACTGAGAAGGAGCCCATTACTTTTACCTCTTTATGTGTTCTATTAAGCACAATGTTAGGGAGCTTTCCAATTACAGCAAATCAGTATGCAAAATTCCTGTGTAAATTTCCTATTTTCTTCTTGCAGTCTATCATAGCACACTTCAACTAAAAATTAAAACAAGTCTTTTTTTTTTTTAAAAAAAAAAAAAACAACAAACCAGAAAACAACTCCTGCTTAATAGAGGAAAGAGAAGGAGACAGATATCCCAGTGGAGTTTTTATTGCTGGTACAAGTGAAAGGAAGAAGCAACATATTGAAGTGGTGGGAGAGAATAAATGCAGCCATGTGGTCATCCCAAATAAGTAAGATGGACTCGTGGCCGTGGTCCTGATCTTTTTTGATGATGAGCTAAAGAATACTGACCCAAATATTGTTGTCATAGCAAAAAAAAAAAACCAGCAAAAATTAGTTTTCACAAGAGCTGTTGTGTGTAGTGCTCAAAACCACAGAGCATTTTTGTGGCCAGGGCAGTGAGATACGTGCTTACTTTTAAGCATGCAGTTTGTCCCATTTATTTCACTTTCATATTTTATTTCACATGCTGAAAGCACATACTCTTAGTGGGGAGCCCTGCAAATTGACAGATTTGAGAAGAGAAATATTTGATCTATAGAGAAAGCATGAAAGGAAGGAAGAGAGATGGCTGTGAGAAAAAGAGCACAGAATGAAGGATGTGTCTGTTTACTTTTCTTAAATGATGCATTTTTCTGACAGTAGCAAATAAAATACTCAGTAACTCCACAAATGCTAATATTAAGTCAAAATGAAGCTTTCAGTAATTTAGCCAAGTATAACAAGATTAAATGAATTCTTACTTTAATTCCTGTGATTTAAATTCAGTTATCTCAGGAATAAATTGCTCTGCAAAGTTTTTCATAGAGCCTATTAACATACTTAATGTGGAGTTGAAATTCTGGCATTGCTCTAACAGCATTCCCACCTTAATTTCAAGGGATCCCATCATATGGTTTGCATAACTATTTTACCTTTTAATAAAGAGAGGATGACACATGACTTAGAAGAAAAGAAAATACAGTTTTGCTACTTTAACCTTATCTAAGTTGTACTTCTAATTTAGAGTCTTAATTCATGAAACAGCCATAGTGTATGGGACAGCTCCAAATTAACATGGCTAGACATAACCAAGCTTAGTCTAGATATATGAAAAAGTAAATAGAAGGGTTATTTCTGTGTATTTTACATCAATAAAGCTGAAATGTACAGGAGTGAGTATCATAAACACTTTTATTGAAGACTCATGTTAAAAGTAGTATGTTCTGAGGTTTACTGTCATCTTGTCATTTACCACAGGTGAATGATGTTTAGCTTTGTTTTTAGGGAAAAAGAGTATTTGATTGTCTTTCTGAACATCTGCACAGTTAAAGTTTTGTATATTATTAGTACTAGAAAGAGGTGTAAGGAACAAGCATGCATTGCTACTATGGCTAAAAGGTGTAAGTCATTTATTAAAAGAATTTACCAATTCACATTACTGTTGCCAAAAAAAAAGCATATCCAGGCATGTATACTTCTCTCTTCTCCTTGGTATTTTAGGATGAACCAAATTACAGGAAATTTTAGGACCAGTTTTAGAACCAACTAAATTCTAGGTAATACCCAATTCTAGGAAATTTGACTGGTCTTTAAAATGTTACTTCACAGGAAGGTGAAGCAAAACCTATGAAATTTTTCCTACAATGATGGAATGGAAAACTCTTGTCCCTGGGTGGAAAAAGGATGCCTGCTGGTGGGGTCCTGCAGCTCTCTGCACAGAGGGGATGGGCTGGTGGGAAGGTGTGTTTGGCCTTCCTGTGTGCCCCTCTAGGGGGTATAGCAGGGATGCTGCTCAGAGTGAAAGGTAAGTCCGTTTGCTTGTGGCACCATGAATGGATTCGCAGGGCTGCGAAATACCTGAGGAGCTAATTCTTCCCTGCCCAGGAAGGGTGGAGCAAGGCAGTGGGGATTAGCAAATGCATTTTTGACCAGATGAATAGCAAAAAGGTAAATCAAGGACAAAGTTTGGAGATGCTTTTTGCTTTATGCTTTTCTTCATGAAGTATAGGAACAGGGATATGATTTACAACTTTTTTTCCTGCGTGAGGTTTGTGAAACTTAGAGGGGTTTGTGAGCTGTGGATGAAGCTATGCCAGGAGGAAAGGTCTGTGGTTTGAATGGAAAAGTACCAACCTGATGAACCTAAAAGGGACTGAGCAGTTCCTGGTCAAACGTATTTATTAGGCACTAGTTTCTAAGATGAAAGCATCTGAATCCCATGGAAACAAGTAGAAGGAATCAGAGACGGGCGGCCTTTAGGTGACAATAATTGCAGATGTCATGAAGGCCGAGGGGATGGTAAACCATGAAAAGGACAAATCATTGAAATAAATCATTTGGATTGGCTGGTGAGATGAACTACAGGCAAACATATTTTGAAAGAGCCAAATGCAAAGCTGTGGAAAAGCACAAAGTCTGTAAGAAACACTTATCTTTATGAGGGATTCTTTAGGGGATGCCTTGATTTTGAAAAGGTCGTAGGGGTCATGGTGATTTATCAGCTGTGTAAGTTCTACAGCCAGAATCAAATGGTAAGTTTGATTTATGAGTAGAATTGGGTCTACGAACAGAAGAATTTCTGGCACTTGTGAGTGATGTTGCCTCTGTGCTTGGTGCTGAGGTAAATACAGCTGCAGTATGGCATCTGGTGCTATTGCCTACAGTCCAAGACAGATTGTTATTGTTTAGGAAAGGTACAAGGAAGAGCCTGCAAAGCACCTGAAAGACCATAAAACAATCTTGTAGTTGAAGTAGATCAGGGCATCCTAATTAACAACAGAAGTTGAGAGATGGCTTAATCAAAGCCTGGAGGTGTCAGAACAGGAAAGAGGTCAAGGGGGTTCTTCACTTTACATATAAGCTATTGGAAATTCTACCTCTTCTAAGGTTAAAATTAGGAAAAAAAAAGATTTTAAAGCAAGGCTAAATTAATAACTGGAATAACATACCAAGGTTTGTGGTTCAAAATTTCTAAACAAAACACTGGGCGTTGTTTAAAACAAAGTTCTCTTTCAAACTCAGGTGCATCTTATGACTTGCTCTATAGAGAACTAAATAATCAACCATCCACCAGTATTCTAGGAATGTAAGACCTCTATAGTATATACAGTGTACAAACTCTACTAACCAGATAATCACCAGGGAGTCTTCTGAGTTTATAATCATAGAAATATGATACATCTTCTGTAGGTTAGAAAAAAAATATTCTATTGGAGCAAATGGGGGCATACAAATATCCTCATCCTGACTTAAAAGCAATATATTTTGTCATTAGAGGAAGTCTGGGTCACTATAAAAAGCAGAGCATTAAGAATTCTACAGCTAAGGCATGTTTTCTGCATCTTCTATCTTATGCTCCCAATGACATCCTAGATGATAATGATTGAAGATGTCTATTTATTAGATATGACAGCTTCCACTGATGAGGGTGTTTGTAATTCTAAGCAAAGAGCAGATGCTAAGATGAAATGTCTTTAATTTTCTAACCACAGAGTTGTTGCTTTGGTAGACTCCTGAGACGGCTGTTCTGTGATCATTTAATACCAGCTCTATGCAGTTGTACCACATGCAGCAGTACAAATTCAATCAAAATCAGGCAAGAGCATATGATTCCATTCCGGTTGGTTTAGCCAGAGCACACAGCACAGTGTTTACATTTGCTTTATAATTTTATGTTGATTTTATGCCGGTTGCAGGAAGACAGCATGAAGTTAAGAGTTGCTTAGACAGAGGCTCTACATTAAATCTGCCAGGACAAAGTTATCTCTCCAATATGTTGTTAACAAATCTGAATCAGTGGAGTGACTCTGTACCAGTATATTGCATTCTTATGATTACAATGTCTTTGAGATCTCACACTAAGCGCCTCAAAAAACACATTCACTGTAGTATCACCAAACCACAGTTTGAGAGCTAAGCTGAACTGAGAGTTAAAACAGAGACACTGAATAGGAGTCTCATCATGCCTGCTCTCCAGCCACAAACGGTTGTACTGCCAATCCCTGGGATACATTTGAAGTTGCCACTGATTCCTGAGGGAAAAAAAAAAAAAGAAAGCAAACAAAAATCTCCAGCCAAAACAGGAACACTTTCAGGAAAACAGCCGGAGGTAAGGATGGTTTCCTTTGAACTTCCTGTTTCAAAGTCAAGTTGTGTCTCTTTAGACGTAGACCATTATTTGGAAGACTTTAAATCCCCTCACATTTGACCTACATCAAGTTCAGGGCTTGGGAGTGTGCTATATGAACTAGGCATGCCAATTAATATTACTGATGGTAGTAATCATAGTATATGAATGACCTGCAAGAATGAACTAACTTCTTCGTCAACTGCCTGAATAATTTTAGAAACCATAAAGGTGAGTTGGTTGGAAGTTGGGCCACAATGATTGTATTATTTTTCAAAGCTGGAAGGAGGCGCAGTGACAAAGATGAACTTGATATTGGCTTGGAAGGGAATACTCCGTAAAACCAAACAATAAAGGCATCAGCATGGTCAGTACAGGAAGGAATTCTGGTGGCCTGATTTTAAAGCATGAATGCCTTGGACAAGAAGGAATTACAATATCAGAATTTACAATGTAGGTAACAAGAAGTCTGGACATGTAGTGAGTGCAGTTTTTGTGGTGGAAATCTGGAATGATCCCACTGATCTTCATGGCAGTAGCTGAACTTGCCCCTGTGAAAGCCAGATCAGGTTCTACTCTACATTTCGAAAATGAATTTTAAAAACACATTTCAGGGCATAGAACAGTCCCAGACAGGGGAGTGTCACCTTCTGATCTGCTAAATTTCACACTGATTTTATTGTGTGACTCCACAAAAGCTTAGGTGTCTATGGAGAGTCATTAACCTCTATATATCCAGAACAGTTGCGTGCCAAGTCTTCAAAGCACAAAATTCACATTACTGGGTAGTTTTTGGAGCATCCTTTTGCAGACCTCTGGAAGCACCACTTAATAAAAATATGCAATAAACCAGATGGCCTTTTTCTTCTTTTACCAGAAGGTGCAGGGGCTCCCATTCTCGTGTAGTTTCAGAATGCAGTCTCTCAGACAGTCACACAGCACACAGGATACATCATGCCTATTTTTTTTTTTTTTTGCTTATTTTCATCCCACATTGAGAAAATACATAGCTAAAAATACTTCAGGATGCTTTCCAGGGAATACCAGCCATGTGTCCCTCAAGGGACTCTTCTTTAACATTCCTTAACCCACATGGTATTCAGTGTTTCCAGTGACAGACTGTGCCTCCATAAATAAGCTGCCTAAGTTCCTAATATGAGCTGTGCATTGCATACGGTGGAATAAATGCCTTAAAAGAATGCTGAGGCTACAAAAGGAAACAGTCATAGAGGTAAGAAATGCCAAAATCAAGGTAGTCTGTGCAAACTCAATATGGTCTTGTTGTGCAGATGCCCAGTCTGAGCCAGTCTCTCATTAAGGCCTGTTCTTTCCTCCTGATTCATCCCAACTACAGGTGCTTGCTGCTCATTAGATGGGAAGCTACTTGATATGTCTTTATATTCTTCATTTGTAGTAACCCTTCTTAGTGGCTTAACACATTACCTTTTACTTCCCACCCATGCAGACTATAAATAGTGAAGTCAGTCAGCATGAACATGACTTATTTGACTCCGATCCTCTCTGCATACCTTCCTTCTCTGGTGTGGCAAAGCTGTGTTCAGATTTCATGGGACATGCAAAATAATTAATATGTATTTAAAGGAATTTCCCTACTGTATTTCCAAACACCTTTCAAACAACAACACCCTGGTATCCCTAACAGTGGAAAGCATTATGCCAGCCAAGCCCAGGGATGCTGCAAGCTCTTTTTCCACCTCACATAGCATCACTCTCACAACTGCCATAGGAAGGAAAACTTGATCCATACATCATCAGTGTCTGTTTATGAGCCATATACCTTTGAACTACTGGGTGAAGTCATTTTCTTGGGGAAAGCAGAAAATCCTGCTTCCCAATGCACCAAAGCTCTTCAGTGAGCAGATCTCCTTTCATCATCCTTCTTAGTTTCAGAGAACTGAATCCTACAGTATGGGCCCCAAGGAGAAGAAGACATTCATCCAAATGCCTGATCTATATTTCCTCCATGAGCAGACACCTATCAGTACCAGACTGCAGAAAAACACCCCACCACTCAAACCCTTTGAAGAAGAAATACATTCTGTTTGAGAAATCATTGGAAAACCAGATGTCTAAAGGGGTGCAAAGCATTGCTGCTGCTACTAACGATGCAATGATTAATCGATTATTCTAGGTATTTGGGATACAGTTAACCCCTTTCACCAACTCACCTATAACAGATTCAGGGAAAAATATGACACTCACACACAGAACTTTGCAGAACCTCCCATACCATTAAAACAGGAAAACAAAACAAAACAAAATGAAAACCAAACCAAACCCTGCTAGGCTAATGGAGAAAATAAATATCACTATAGCTCCTAGCAGCCCTCAGGCACTCTGCTCCCTCCAGTTGTGTAAATCTTTCTGTTTGGCCTCTGGAAGAGTGAAGGAGCCCCTACTCACATCTTCCAGGAAGAGTGAAGACAAGCCCTCTCAGGCTTAAGTCCAGTGCCTTTGAGAGAGAGAAGGCTTCCTGGAGCAGGGAAGGAGAGCTGCCAGCTTTGCTTTGAGCCAGTGTTTCCTACAAAATGTTACTGAAACAGAGCTGTGCAGAAGCTGTAGGATGACTTTTTTTCATGGGTTGTTTTGTTTTTTTTTTTTACTGTTTTCATAAGCTGGTTGTTTGCTGTGAGATAAAACACGTTGCTCACTTACATCTTACTATCTCAGATACAACTCCTTTGAAGTAGACCTGTCTAAAAAGGTTATCCACATGCTTCTGTAGCCTCCAATTTCTTGGTGAGCCTTGGTAATCCACAGTTACAGGGATAAGATAGGCTCCCTCTGAGATCAGAGGGTAAAAGCATGCAGAGCCTGCCTAGTGCTGATATCAATTTTACACATTGAATTGAAGCAGAGGAAGCTGCGGCTGTCAGAGAATGGGAACATTTTTAAATGAAGGCACCACATGGATTGATGAAAATTCTTGCTTAGCAAATGAAATGAGGACAAACGGCAAAAGAAAGGCGCTTCATTACTGATTTTATCAGCTGACTTTCCCACTTTGTTTTGGTTTGTGTTTTTAATCAACTCTCCTGCTGAATGTAGAAGGGAGGGGAAGTGTAAGACCTCAGTCATCCATTCAAAGCTAGTTCATGCCACAGGTGTGCCAGGAAAGATCAGTCCCATCACACCAACCCTGCTTTGCTGTTAAGAAGTCAGACTTTATCACTCTTCACCATTGGTCTTTATCACTCTTCACCTTCTGTACTTGGGCAGGGTGGCATCTTCTTTCATGTTTTCTCCTGATTCCACATAGCCAGTGGTTTTGAAATATCCAGGGCAAAGTCTATGTGTGAGCTGCTGAGGGTTACCACAGGGGACTGGTGCTAGAATGTAAGAGGCCAGTGCATGTAGTTATTCGTCCCTGATGGGAAGGGAAGTGGAAATAATGAGGAGTGAGGTACACTGGTGGAACCGAGCAGCAGGAATGAGATGACATTTCAAATGAGGGAAAACACAAATGGGAATCTATTGAAGGCTAGTTATAGGGAAGGGAAGATGGGAGCTGAGCAGAGTATCCAACAGCAATTGTGCTGTCTATACATATGTTACAGTTGGTGGTGTTCTCTGCATGCCGTCCCATCGGCAAAGAAGTGAAAAGAGTGCATAGGTTCCTTTTTCACATACAGCGTTCTAATTCACTCAACCATGCCAATTCCTTTCCACCTCAAGTAAGCAAGTGAATACAAGAAGACATAAATAAATGAGAATGTAAGAAAGACACTCTGTTTCACACTCTTACAACCATCAAACTAAATGTATAATTTCTGCAGCTCCATGGAAGGCAATGAAGTTGAAATTAGCTCTTTATGCATGGATTACAGTACTGCATAGTGAATTTTAGGCATCCATAAAATGCAGTATAAATAGTTTATGCTCAGTCCTAAGGGTGAGGTGTTTCATTTGTGTACTTTTGTTAGATTATGATTATTAAAAGAGCTTCAGAGTGATATAATGAAAGTTTAAAAGTATCTTGATCTGAAGAAAGCTGGAAAAATAGTTTAGAAAAAATATTAGAGGTGTGTAAACCTAGAAACTACAGGAAAAACAAGCAAAGCTATTATACCTATTTTTGTTTGTTCAAGGCAGGAGAAAATTAGAGAGAGACATGAAAGGCAGCAGAGGCATCATGCCAGACAACTTTCTGATGGATAATGGTCAATGCAATCTTGTTATTTTGTGTTCTTTCTTTGCCTGTGCTCAGCGTCCATCCATTACGTTTTGCTGTACATAACATCCACATCTTGAACACAATGTCAGACAGACTTGATTCTTAGATTTTCTTCCTGAAAGAATAAAAAGTTCATTGAGGTGGAGGAGAATTGGAATTCAGTAACCTTTAATACAGAACAGATTCCAAATTCAGGTCATTTCATCAAAAATAATCAAAACAAAATGCAAAAAAATGCAAAGAATCAGATTAAAGGGATAGAAACATAAACATTGAGCCCAGTGATAACTGATTTAAATTAAATGCAAGTCCGTAAAGAGGCTAAACCTTTCAGTCACAATCTGTTTCATTAGTGCGCAGCTACAGACTAGTGAATTCTGTTGTTTATGGTTCTTAAGGAATAAATGTCACTTTGTGTCCCCTGACTACATCTGAAGTCAATAAATCCATCTGCTGCCTTTCACGCATACAGAATGCATTTTCATTCCCTCCAAGCCATGTTCATTGGCCAGCTTGATATAATTAAATGGCCTGCATGACACATTCAGATCCTTAAATTTGAGCCATTCATTTAAGTATGCATATTGCAGTTTCCCCCAGGTACAGGAAGAAAGGGGAGTACAAACAGCAATAGTCCTAAGGTGCATCCCTTGCCATTACAGGTTGTCAAATGTGATGTTAATATATTTCACAAATACTAAATGAAGATAGCAGCTAAAGATAGATTCAACAAGTGCAGTCTATTTTAATTCTTTTTTGTAGAACCCTCTCTCAGTGTTCTTGGTAGTGCCTCTGTAGACTGAGGAGAGTGTGAGAATAACATATATATCTCCTTCTATTAAATGAATATAACACCTTTATTCAATGGCAATATGTTAACTTGTCAAAGCTCATCATCTTTGTGCTACACAATAAAACATTCCTTAATGCAACAGAGTACTGTGTTGCAAACCTAGCTCACCTAGAAGGAAAATTCCACATAAACTATTCTATACCATCTGTTGCTTTGCCTAAGCTATTTTCCCTTTAGAAAATAACCTCTGTGAGATGTTAATTAACATCGTGTTTGGAAAAAGTCTGAATAAACCTCTTGCATTGAACCAGACTTAGCATACTCAATTACTTTTTTATTCTTCCCCATCTACATATTTCTTTTGACCCAAAGCTTATTTTTCTCCTTTATTTTTTTCAGAGAAGCTTGAATTTTGTTCCAATCTGGGGAGAAATGCAAGCCAACCAGCTGGCAATAAAGTTTTTCCCATGTCATAAAAGACTAAACATCAACAGAAGTAGTGGTCTTTGATTCCTGGAAGTGCTCAAGGCCAGGCTGGATGGGGCTTTGAGCAACCTGATCTAGTGGAAGGTGTCCCTGCCTGTGGCAAGGGGTTGTAACTGGATGGTTCCTTAAGGTCATTTCCAACACAAACCATTCTATGACATTGCTCCCACAAAAATTATGGTTGCTTTTTATCAGCTCATGTGGACATAATTTCTTTTTTAGAATAACGCTATTCCTAAGGTACCCACACAACTCTACTTGTGACTTGTTGAATCCGTAACTTATGTTTTATATCCGGTTGTTTGGCATAGGAGTAGAATGAAAACCCTTTGAAAGAGAGAATGTTTTTAAGAGAAAAAATGCTCTTCTCAATCAGAAGAATAAAGGTAATCTACATACATTTGTGCTGCATAACTGAAGTTTTGTCTCTTCATTCACATTTTTGGTTACAGCTGACATATCCCCCACAAGAAACTCTGGATCTCAAGGGAGAGAAGAAGGGAAGAGACTGCAACCTATTATTATTCACCTGGATGTTACAAAGATATCTTTCATGTGTCAAGTGGTACCACGTGGGTGGCATAATCTGGCATTATTGTGCATCACTGCTCTCTATCATCACACTTTTCTAAAACTATCCCTGTCACTGGTATGGTGTCTACACATAAAGTGACTGCACTTTTTACTGTGCTCCATAAAAACCCAGACTTCAAATCACTAGATTCAGCTCAGAATAGGACTGACTAATCTTCATTAAAATGTATATATCTATAGATAAATACACATATAAAGTGTGATTTCAAAGTTTTTATTTTATAGACATTTATAAAAAGAGAGGTTTCTATTCCATGGTTTATTTTGCTAACCAAAAGAATGCAAATCTTGCAACAAGGATTTAAAGCAAACCCATGCAGTAATATGGACCTGAATTCTGAAGTTTAAATTAGATTATTAGCAGAATTGGCCATTTTACAATCTAGTTAGGAAAGTACTAGTCAAAAAGCTTTCATGGCACTTCATCTTTCCATGACTGCTGTAGCAATATCGGCTCTGGTTACTTGGGCAACTGATCAACAACTTCACCTGGGTTGCAAATGCAACACTGGGAAGAGATTAAGAAAACGAAACATGAAGGAGGAAGCTAATTTGAATAGAGAAAGAATAATGTCTGGGATCATGGGCAGGCAGTAGTTTTAGTCATTCATAAGTACAAGAAAAGATACCTAATTCTTACACATGACAGTATATTTGGTTGCATTTAAAGAAGAGGCCCTGAGAGAAGTTCAGAGTCCTCACCCATGAATTCTTACCAAAAATACCATATTCTAGTTATATAGAGGATAAAGAATGAAGGGAATATTTTGTACAAATACAAAATAAAACATGCAGATATTGTCCTCTTCTAGCAGTAGGGAAACCTTGAACTTCAGAAGGTCTATGTTGCTTGTCTGGTGCACACCTTACTATTGTGAAAACACATAGCATTTATTGTAAACCTACTTGATAGCACTGGATTAAACCCTGTTTTTCCCACCTTATAATAGCAACTGTATGACTCAAAGAGACTGGATACACATACATTATGTATTTAACTTGAATATTATCAAAATTACATAGATTAGGGATAAAATTCTGTTTCCATTTCTCATTCTATTTTGTCTCCAGTCCCTAAAGTCTTGATTTTCTAACTGTTTTTCAGCAGCAAAGTCCATAGGAACCTGCTTTTTGCCTTACACCATAGAGAACCTTTCACCAAGAGGGCACAGAGATGTGATCCTAAGATGAACCAGGTCAGTATGAATCCAAGTTTCCAACACTCT